GAGACAAACAGCAGCAACCAGCACGTTGCAAAAGTCTCAATAGTAAACTGTGCCGCCGAAACATAATTTCAGCCAATCAGCGCCGTCAAATATTTTGGTCACGAGGGCGCTCACGTTGGCGCCCACGTTGCTTACGTGACTTGAGTTGTTTTTTAGACTCGTGAGTGACCAAGGTGACGCAGTATTTAGAATGGTGTGCAGGTGGAGTCGCCGGACCTCGGTCCGCACCCAATTCCGTGCAAGAGCTACTCTCCAATCCTTTCCAAAGGAGAAGTTTGGGAGATAAATTGATACTTAAAGACCTTGGACCGGACCAACCCGATTTGTATATATCACAGCAAGCTCGTGAACAAGACAAAACGTATCAACGAGGGTAGCTGGATGCAAACGATGCAAACAGGTAGGCTAAATGCTATCTTTTGTTTCCCATGCTTGCTCTTCAAACAGCCGGGGACAGATATGATCTGTTCAGAAACTAGACAAAAGTTAAACAAGTACAAACCACAGACTGTCTGTGTCATGGCGAATACAGTCGCTGGTTTATTTATGTCTGTATAGGCCGTTGTTGTGAGCGTGGACGGTCGGAACATATATAACGTTAGCTTAGCCAAGCTCCATTCAGAAAACAAGCATTCTAAAAGGTTTTTTTTTTACTCACTATATCAAAAGCCCCACCAAAAATATTTTCCACCAGCCGCCACTGCTCCCTAATGAGAACAGCTGCAGTTGTGGTATCTGAGATAATTTCATTTTTGATTTACATAAACAAATTCCTAATTATCCTCAAAGGCTACCAGGGCCCGGCTCACCACCTTTTGTCAAATCCTCTCAGTTTCTCCAGCACAGCCAATATCTAGCAGACTGGCTGCCTCCGTCCCAGAGGAATCAATCATTTTAAATGTCAGACATGCAAAATTGGGTCTGCTCCAAACTCGAGCTCAGTGGCGGCGGCTTCTGGTGAAAACAAAACGAATACTTTCTCGCCCCGGGTTTTTAATAAGGTGGTGGATATATTTGCACATTGGGTCAAACATATAGGACAGCTGACACCATGAGTGTTAGAATGAGCGTCTGAGACTTACGATCATTATTATGATCATCAGTCCGACCTGAGTTTAGTTTCAGTGTGTGACTCGATGACAGCTGATAGAGAAGGTGGACTATATTACATGTTATGCTCCGCTATTAAAGCAAACAAGGATTATATTTTCATAATCAACTGCAGCGGATAACTTATTATTAAATTAGTAAAGTTTTGCACATTTACTATCATATCACCATATGTTTGTAGTATTTTTATAAATAACAACGGAAAGTTCATACACATTAACGTGCAAATAACACCAATGATGGGGCCTGCAAGCGACATAAATGTCATATGCTAACTTTAGGTTGATTTATGCCACTGTTCTTACTACCTTCAGTAGCTAACTACATTTCTTTGATAGCATTATCACTGCCACAAGTGGAAAAAAGTCTAGTGTGTCCCATACAGATTTAAATGATAAATAATTGTTATAACTAAAGAAATTGTCATGATAAAGAGGCAACATGTTTCCTCCTCGTCTGCTCTGCACAAACCTTAGTCTTGTGCTTTGTTGTTCAGACCATAATTATGTTATGTTATGTGACTTTATTGATAAAATAAGTATAATAAATTGCAATACAGTTGGTGAATGTGTTAATGTAGCATTAGTGTCTTCTCTAGGAGGGAGAAAAGGTATTCCATTATTTTAGTTTTGTTTAATTGACAGTGTTTTAGAGTCTCTTTATGTCCTAGAAAGTGTTTTGTGGATACGTCATCAAGGCTAATTCCCTGCAGCGGTTGGCTGCAGGATGTCACACCGCTGCAGACATTCTGACTTACATCTGCCACACAGTCACCACACCACCACACTTCAGAATGTCAACTTGACTGACAGCCACCAGGGCCACAAAATCACACTCTCACACTCCCGTGGTGTGGAGCTTTGACAGCCATTACACGCCACAGTGTGTGTGTGTGTGTGTGTGTGTGTGTGTGTGTGTGTGTGTGTGTGTGTGTGTGTGTGTGTGTGTTCATTTGTGTGTATTACAGGGAATTTCAGGGACACGCTTCACTATCTCAATATCCGTATAATAATTGTTATGTAAACACGTGTCATGCAGCGGGTACTTTTGCTGTCATTGGATTCCCACTCGAAGGAAACTCATTTGTCACTCTTTAATGAGGAAATACTTTGCCTCTGCCAGCAGGATGGAGATCATATAACAGTATACATACATTTATATCATCTGACTATAGCCTGACTGACTTAACTATATAGTGTTTTCACAGGTCTCTGTAAAAAATCAATAAAACAACTCCAACTCATCCAGAACGCACCAAAACTAGGAGAATTTACCCCAGTTCTCAAAAAGCTGAACTGGCTTCCTATTACACAAAGGATACAATTCAAAATCCTACGTTCAACATACAAAGCACTTAATGGATTGGGAGATTTGGGACCAAAATACATGTCAGAGATGCTGCATTGTTACGAGCCAGCCAGAGCTCTCAGATCAACAGGAGCGGGTCTACTCGCCCCCTCACACCCCCCTCACACCCCCCTCACACCACCCCCCCCCCCCCCCCCCCCCCCTGAGTCAGAACTACAGTTTTTAGAACCATAAGCCTGGAACAAACTGCCTGAAATTCTGAGGTCTTACATTAAGGTTAAAAACCTTTCTTTTTAATGCAGCCAGTGTTTTCCCACAGAATTTGATTATATTTGTGGAATCCCCCTCCCCCCCCCCCCCCCTCAAATAACAAAATTCATGCTAGTTCATGGCTACTGCAGACAACGTTCTTCTTGCTCTGTGTTGCGTTGTTAATGCGTGAGACACACCGGAGTTGAGGATCTGTGGGGTTTATTCTCCCAAAAATATAATTTACAATTTATGCATTTAGCAGACGCCTTATTCCAAAGCGACTTACAATGACCAGTTACAGCAGGGGTGGGGAACCTCCGGCCTCCGGGCCGTGGTATACGGCCCGCGAGACCATTTGGTACGGCCCTCGAGGTAATTTATAAACACACGCAAAAAAGAAAATAATTAAAGAAATCTAGACCGCAAAATAATTAAACAAGCGAGTGCCTGTTTTTTCCTGGCCAAGGTCAGGGTCCTTGAACACAACACGAGCCTAACGTGTATGTCTCGTCTGACTGGGGTGTAGTTCTGACGGAGAGCACCAGAACGCGGCTCCGGCACTTCAGATAAGGAGCCGTACACATGCCGCAGTGTTTGCGTGTCTGTGTCTTTAGCTGAAAGCCCAGTGGCGATCTGTTCATCTGTCATACAGTCAATAACTTTGTTGTTATTAGCATCTGGTTAGCTAGCTATGCTAACGAATATAAGAAGCTTTTTCTACAACCAGTGAGGTAAAGGCACATCTTTATATGATCATTATAGTTATAAAAAAACAAGAGAATAAAGTAAACAGGTATAAAATACTATATGACAGTAAAAAAAAGTTGTTATTAATAAACAAGGATAGAGTTTGAAAGGAGAGTGATTTGTAAAATATCCATAAAGAAAAACAGTTCTTACAGTTCTGTTTCATATGGGTGTTGAGAGATGTATCCATAGATCTCTTCATGTTGCTCTCAAAGTGCAGCAGATAGATGCTTTTAACTTCAACATTAAAAAAAATAAAATCTCCCGGACCCCCCTAGAGTAGGTTAGACCCCCCCCCCCCACACATCTTGGGTCCATATCTTTCTGTTTTGATGGTCATGCCACAACCGTGCACGTGCATGCATGCGCGAGTCATGGTGAGATATCTGGATTAAGAGGTTGCTTTTTCTTTGCATGAAAGAAAGGCGAAATGAATGGGCTGTGATTTTAGTTTTTTGAAGCAGAGGTCAATCATGTGTACGGCCCTCGGAGGATGTTGAAAAATTGAAATGGCCCTTGAGAGGAAATAGGTTCCCCACCCCTGAGTTACAGGGACATTCTCCCTGGAGTAACTGAGGGCTAAGTGCCTTACTCAAGGGCACACTAGTGGTGGTGTTCCAGGCGGGATTTGAACTCGCAACCTTCCGATCATCAGCCCACCTCACTATCAATTATTAGACCACCAAAAAAAAAGAAGCCTATCCTGAGATCCTTTAACCGTGCCTTATCATTGTACTTTTAGTTGCAGCCAGTATTTTATCGCTTTTATGAATCGTCTTTTTTTTTTTGATTGTGTGTTCGTTTTGTTTTTAATTATTATGTGCTGAATGCCTATATGAAGCACTTTGAATGGCCTCTCTTAAAATGTGCTATACAAATAAACTAACCTTGAACCTTGACCTGCCATCAACTGTAAAATCTACCTTTTATAGATGCATTATTTATGAATGACCTCCGCCAGTTTGTTTTCGATGTTTGTTTCTTGTCTGTCAGTATTAGTGAGGAGTAATAACATAGTTGCTACAAACCTTTGCAAAGTAAAACAACACAGTATGGGATTGGGAAAATCAGACTTTGAATGGCCGGTTGTGTTTAGGATGTATCAGGACTGTTGAGTTATTATTTGACTTGACTTAAAGGACTGCTATTTATTTAGTTTTGACTTCAGTCTTATTTGTCTAAATCTTTGGTGAGGTTGTGTTAACATGTCCTCATACTATCTTGTCTGTTATGATAACAGACAAGATGTCTTTTATGTAACTTTTTGCCTGTACTAATTCAAAAAGATGATTATAACAGATGTGTCTCTTATGTTTAGGTGTATTTATATGTATTTTGGCATTTTGAGGAGAGTTGGTGTGAGACAATTTAGACTTGAGTGTACTTGTTTTGTGTATTTCCTGTATATTTGAAAACAATATGTTTGTATTAAGGTGTTTACCCTTCTGACAAAAAGTCTAAAACGATTTGCGAAGTGCCAGTCACAGCGAGTGTGTGATTGCAGCCTTTGAGAGGACTGAGAAACACCTCACACACACTCTGTCGCTCAATATCTGCCAGGCAAACAAAACCAAGCAGCATGGTGTGTGTTCCAAGTTTTTTATTGTTAACTAGAAAAAAGTATTTGCCCACTTCCTCCACCCGAGTCTACACAAAATAAATCCACTGTCACCGTACGACAAGTCATCTCCCAATGCAGAAAAAGTATTTCACTACAATCACAGTGTGTGCTGTGCTGGGTAAACAGTGTTTCAAAAACAGCAGATGAAACTCAATCAAATAGTAGTCATTGGTAAATGTACAATACTACTGTGTAGCAGTATAAACTCTATATACATTTAACAAAAGAGCAGCCAAAACTACTTAACAAACACATGGTCAGTTATTTAAATAATGTCATTGTCTTTTTTTACTTAATGCTCAATAGTAGAGGAGCTCTCGCTTCTAATCAAAAACATGTTTAAATCCCCCTTTTCCACACAATTGTATAAATAAGATGCACGTATTTCTCACTGCGACCTCATATTAATATTCTTCACCCAGCTTTTCCACGTCTCTGATATGAACTCGCCCAACAGTTCTCCGTTCCTTCCCTCGTGACCTTTTCCAACCGGTCAGCCTCTAACTGTGATTTGTGCTCACATTTCTGCTATTGATTTTAATAAAGTGTGTTTATTGCATTGAGAGATGCAACATCTGCTGTTGGCTTTATTGCTGTATGTTTAAAAGTACAAAAGAGGCACATTTCAGAGACTATGACCAGATGTAACTTCATCTGGTGTGCAAACAGTGGCTTATTTTCAAATCCAGCAGTTATTTAGCAACATGAGCATTTATTTGGCTCTTATCCAGCGATATTGACTCTCCTTTTAGCTCTGCATTTGTTCTCCACCAGCTCCTGCAGAGAAGACATTGCTCTCTAGCTGCTCAATGTTTCACCATAATCACAGCTAGTTGCTAACTCTCTGCTGTTTAAGGCTTGGCAGGTGATGAACAGTGTTTTTTATTCAAACTTTTGTGCTCAAAAGCTGCCTGTTGCGTCTGGAAAAAACGCTACGAAGGCAGAGAGAGTGAACACAACACAAATTGAAGTGGAGAGCTAACAGATGCTAACAATGTAGAGTTAGTACTGTCTCATACAAGAAGTCAACTGATCCACTGTTTATCCATTGATTAAAGGCAAAAGTGTTTTCTCTGCAGTGTTTCCAACCAAAACCACACTCTTGTCCTCCTTCATGAGTGTTTCCTCCCACACAGCAATGATGAACACTTTGGAGACTGTTAACAAGCCATTAATCCATCAGTATTTTTCTCTCAAAACCTGTTAAACATTAAACAATCTGCAGTGTGTTGAATCAACACCAACAACCGGTAGATCTACCTATCAAATTCAGCTGAATAGGTGTTTGACTAAGAACTCAACATTCAAATTAGTTTTCTTTTAATTGAATACTCTATTGTGATTCTCTTGTGTATCACATGTGTTTCACCATTTCCATCCAAGTGAATCTCCTACCTACATAGCCTAATGTACAAAAGGTTTCCAATACCCATATTAAGTATGCGAGAAAATATTAATTATTTCCCAAAACATAACATGTGAAATGCGGTATGCCAGTAATACCAGGAAGTCCTTGTGCAGTCAGATGCATTTTGATTCAGGGGATGTTATTTCATACTTCTGATATGGCACCATGAGAGGGACTCACCAGGTGGTAACACAAACTTTCTGCTCATAATAATTGAGGGAGACGGTGCTGAACAGATAGGAACACTGCCAGTGTGAGATTAACTGTAATCAATAGGGATTTTGGCTCTCTGTCAGGAGTGTTTGTGAAACAATCGAAGACTGAGGTGACGTTAATCAATGAGAGAAAATCCCCGATTTAGGTAGTCTGATAATAAAAGATACCGTGGATTTCAACTCATAGAAACAGTTTGTGATTACAGTTTGTGCTTGAACCTGAAGCTGTTGAACATGTGAGTGGCAGTGCACCCAAGCATGGCCCCCATCTCCACTTGGAAAAGTTATTACCCCGTTAGTGGCCGCACAACACCTCACTGCATCTCTGCTCCTGCTTCAATTATGGAGCCACTGCATGATCCAAACACTCGAAATTGGGGAAGAAAGCGGCTAGCTGTGAGACAAGTGGTTTATTCCTTAGCTCCCTGATCAGAAGTCACATCATTATTGTTATTTCTCCTAATTTCCATTCAATTACAGTGTGTTGGTGAAGGTGAAAGAAGACTCCTCCATCGTTATTCTTCAATACACCCTGTGGGAAGGGGGTTAGAACAATGGACGACAGTGTAGTTGTTGTTGTAGAAAAGTAGAAAAAGAAGTCTGGCGTTCATCGGTAAAGGTAAAATAGTGCAGACAGAGTCAAGAACCAGCAGATTTCTTCTTCCAGTTCATCCAGAGCTGTGTAAGAGTTCAGATGACCCCGTAGTCCCGGAGAGATTTGAGCAGCACCGTGTCCTTGATGTCGCTGAACACTCTGCGGATGTTGTTGGTGTCGGTGGCGCAGGTGAAGTGAGGGTACAGCGTCTTCCACTGGTCCCTGTTGTCCCGGTTGATGGCCTGCTGCTCGTACAACTTGCGGATGTAGTTCTTAGCATCATCCGGGTCGTGCCTCTTGCCTGTAAACAGACGTGAGAAAGATACAAGAGATGGAAATAGTTGTGTTGTCAAGAACAAATACACAAAGATGCTAGAATCTTACTTCACTTATTCCTGCTTTTCACTCGTGCACCATTTTGTGACTTTTAAATTATGTTGTTCTTTTTATGTTGAGTATCTTGTGTGTTGCACTGGATTTAAGATTACCAAAAACGTCTCAGTAATTGTCTGTTGTGTCTGTTTTTTTGTCGTTTGTGTGGACTCAGAGCCCAGTCTGCTTTGATTGGTTAGCTGGCCGCCTCTGTTGTGATTTGTCCGGTCCCTTGGCCTATCACGTGCAATGTATTGGAGCGCTCGCCGATAAGAACAGAGGCCTGTACTACGAAGCCGGTTCAACCTAACCTGGATATGTTTGAGTTAGCCGGTTGGCCTAATCCAAAACATACGGTAATCAAGTGGATCGCTCAAGCCAGCCGTTTCCTCTCTAGTTAGGTGCGCGTTCACATGAAAGGGGTGGTATCTGGAGCATTCGACCAATCACAAATATGGAGAAGCGTACTGACAGCGCAGTGTCATACTTCCTGAATGAAAAGTCAAATATATAATTAGACAAATATGAAGACGTTAAACTTTAAACATCCATGACTTAAACACTTTATCCAGGATCAAAGTCACAAAGCTGCACCTGCAAGGTGAATACAGCTGGCAAAAGAAAAAGTGTTTGAAGGCGTACATTAACAGGTTTATGATATCACTGCCCCGTCTAAGACACGATCTGACTTTAATTACATTTGACTCGAGTGTTTCGTCAACTTAATGTGTTGCTTAAAATAATACTTCTGCATACAGTATGTGACACTGAGTGTTGCACAGCCAGATACGGCTCAGCTGACTCAGATAAGGAAATATATGATACATTATGATGTGATATGAATGATAATGGGACACATCGACGTCTGCACTCACAGTGCCACGGACTGTAGGCGACGTAATGCTACTTTGATCCGGTTACTTATGTTGTGGCAGATATGTAATTAAGCTTTCTTAACGTTATATGTTATATTAGTCAGATTGCTCTGAAGATGGGAGCTGATATTCTATTAATATTCACGTTCACACAGTCGGTGATTTTTGCCGGCCGTCTTTCCTGCAACGGCAGTTTAAACTGTATTTCCTTTCTCCTGTAATATAACTTGATCGCTTTAAACTCCGCACACTGAGCTCTGATTGGTCAGCAGGCAGTGCTTTCACTGAGTTGATCTCTTAGCCTGCAACCTAACCTGGTTAGCCGCTCAGCATAAGTTACCATGGAGATCTAGCCCGCTATAAAGAGAACCAGCGTCGTAGGACCGGAAACCCCAAGTTTTCCCTGAAGTTAGCCGCTAAGCGAAAATCCTGCTTCGTAGTACAGGCCTCAGGTGTGTTACATAATGATGTTATTATCTTACGGACCCCGAGTCTGTAATAAAGTTTTCATTCATTCATTACGGAAGTAAACAAAGGCCTATTTGTAGGCAAGGGGGGGGGAGGGGTGGGGTGTGTGAGAGAAACTCCCTCTGGTATTTTGTACAAAAATCAATGTAACACACTACAGGAAAGGGATAACCACTAAAAGCATAATATGGCCTCTTTAAATGAAAGGAAGCTGCAGCTATAAGCAGTGAACATTGACAAATAATTTACAGTAAGTGCTGGTCCAGTTGCTGCCCTCGCTGTGTTAACATGGTAAAGGACTGTGTGGCTTCTTAACAACAGTAGCCTTCACTTTACAGCAGCGATAAAAAGGGCCAAATGGAAACGCAGCATTAGCAACAAACAGAGGAAGAGCTGCACAGAGTTGTTGTTGAGGTTAAACTGAAGGAGCTTCACCCTGTAGGAGTCATGATTTTGTATTTTATCCTCATGGTAAAAGTCAGTTAGATTACACACACACACACACACACACACATAATTAATCACTCACGGTCACACATTTTCCCCTTGCACTCATAAACCTCTCACAAATGTACACCTGGGGGGTGGCGGGAGGTGCTTGCGTGAAGCACAATATCAGTCTGTGGTTGTTGCCATGGGTAACAGAGCGAGAGGGGGGGGTGTCATGGAGGGGAGGTTAGGGCAATGCTGTTCAGCTTTTCACACCAACAGAGCTACAGGCTGCAGTCACATCATTAAGCACACTAAGTACCTGGAAGTGACTCATTTGCGTGTGTGTGTGTGTGTGTGTGTGAAGATTTTATTATTTATTGGTTTGTTGACTCTGATTTGGGTTCAGAGTCAGGATGACACTGAGGTTGAGACTGCGCTTCATTCTTTTTAACAGCGGGTGCATCAGGTTGGGATTTACACACTTTTGAGACCATATTTGACTTTGTGACTCGGAGGATGCTGGATCTGGCTCACAAAAGATTTTGCACAAAGTTTGCACCTTTCTCATATTTGGAATCCTTAGCCAACGAGGCTTTATATTTGGGATTTGACAAGCTCGCATGCCATGCCTTTCCCCATTGTGATCATTCAGTCCAAACTCCTACGCATGAAGTAAGGCGGCTTCCACTTACATACATCTTGCATATGGGGCGGAGCTTTTATTCAGGCTGTGACATACAGGCAGGGGTGCATTTGGTTGCTCTTGCCAATCCACAGCCCTATTCAGCATGCTAACATTTGCTGATGAGCACTGATTAAGTACAACTGAGGCTGTCGGTGTTGTCAGTAGGCTTGCAACATTTCAAATGATATGGGTTTTTGGTGCTGGAGTACAATTCATCATACGAGGGGCCTGAACGCTGGTGCCAAATTTCCTTGCAGTCAATTCAAAAGTTGTTGAGACTCTCCCCTAAACAAATCTAAATGCTGACCTCATGCCTCAGGTGTTTACTAAAAGCAGTTATATCCAGTGTTTACCTGCGAAGCTGGGGAAATATTTCTGCAGGTCAGAGGTCATGATTTTGTCAGCCAGGATGTCAGTCTTGTTGAGGAAGAGGATGATGGAGGTGTGGAAGAACCAAGGAGAGTGGATGGTGGTGTAGAAGAGAGCCAGACTCTCGTGCATTCGGTTCTGAAGACGGAAACAGAGTCACATTTTATACTGGAGGATATTTTTTATAAATGAACAGAACTTTTATGATATGAGTAAAAGCTATCGTAGTAGAAAGCTAACGCCAGGCTTAAAGAAAAAGAACGCTTTCGCTTTACCTTATGTCGGCATAATTATGTTTTATAGTCTCATTAGCCACTAGAAACTTTTTGAGGACACAAATTTGTTATTTTGTGTAGAACAAAACATTAAAATCTCTTCAGCTTGTGTTAACCACAGATCTTATTTCAGGCATCTTACCAAAACACGTTAAAATGAACTCCATTGACTTCGAGGCGAGGGAAGTTCTAAGATGCTAATTTCTTGATTTTGGGATTTATGTTGTTATAGATACATGAACTACACCAGTGAGTTTCTGAGAGATGATTTGGACTCCTCATGGATGGAAAGACAGATTGTGATTGTGACGAAGCCGGGAGGAAAGCAGTCCTTTAAAGAGAGGAGGGGGGGGGGGGGGGTTTATGGAGGTCTGGAGCACACGGGCCTCTGTGGAGGTTATTGAATGTGTTGGCAGACAAAAAAGTGGCTGGGAGAGATAAACAGCTTAGAGGGAGGGGGGGAGGGAGGGGGGAGGGACAGAAGGCGAGAGAGAGAGGGGGAGGTTTTGTTGTGCAAGAGTGAAACCTGCTGGAGGAAGTATGAACTGACTGCAGTGAGAAAACATTCGGAAGAAAAGAACAATACGTTTTAATGGGAAATGAATACATTTTTACTCCATTTAATTAAGCTAACCGCTACTGGCTGTATATAAGGCATTTATTGTTATCATTTAAAAATGTAAAGGCTTTTTTGTATGCTAATGTAACAGCAACAATAATCTATATATGTGGATGCAACTAAGGATTATTTATTAATTATTTATTTATTGATATTTTGTTAGGAATCCATTATAGCTTAGTCTATAAAACATCATAATATAGGGAACATGTCCACAATGATGTCTTTGAATAACTTGTTTTGTCTGACAAATGTTCCAAATATATTTAGTTTACAATGATATTAAACTTAAAAAAGCAACAATATCAAAAACACAAGATTTAAATCGGTATTTGTACTTGAAAAGTTACTAAAACCTTCAATTGATTTTAAAAGCGGTTGCTTATAAATATAACTAATTATTTATTTATTTTAATTCATTACATTAACTCGATAATCAATTCATTGTTGCAGATCTACAATAAGCTACAGTAGGTTGTGTATATATATATATATATATATAAATATTGGACTGTTTAGGCTGTTTCTGTTATTTTGTCCACGCTCTGCAGTGAGGTTAGACGTGTCTCTTACGATGGTCTCTCTCTCCTCCAGGACCTGGTCGTACTCGCTGAGCGACGCCAGGAAGATGAGCGAGGTGACGTTTTCAAAACAGTGGATCCACTTCCTGCGCTCCGACTTCTGACCGCCAACATCCACGATCCTGCCAGAGAGGAGCAAGAGTTAGAAAGGCAAGAGAAAAACAAACAAGTAAACAAGGAAGCCGTGCTAATGCTGTTCAAATGAACACACTTAAGATATAAACAAAGCAGGCACTAGTATTGAGTCCTAAGGTCGACATATTCTCTGTTTAAGGATCTGTACTTCAGATAAGGAGGTGCTGGGTGAAGAAATACAAATATCACTATATTTGTATTCTTCAAATAGACTCGGTTAAATGTATTTTGACCTTAAAAATCCTGACATATGAAAGATAAACTAAAAGCGGTACGGAGGTTTGATGTTGATGGAAAAGCTGGATCTGTCTTTATTAACTCCTGCTGTCTTGCTGCAGGCTGGGCGTAGCTGTGTGAACGACACAGAAGCAGTACCGTCATTCATTAATCTGTCAGTTGTGACGGAGCACAGAGCCTAAACAAACCTTGTCTTCAGTCTAGTTTGTTTGAATTGTGTGTTATACCTCATCATTTAAGAGCAGGTGTAATTTAATTTGGGAACACACAAAGAAATGTGATCTCTGTCTGCTCAGCTGGAGTCAGGTCTTCCTCTGGTTTCATAAAGAAACAACGCAGGTTCAAAATAAACCTTCCCCTGAAGATCTATAATCTCCATCATAAATCTGATCCTGTTGCAGACAAAGCCTCTGCATCAGTCAATAGTGGGTTTTCCCTCAATGCAGTGAATAGTGTGGGGACAAGTGTCTCTTGTGCTGTGTCTCCATTCGGTTTGTCTCAATTGTGTGTGAATTTCGACTGGGTAGCGTAGTTTATTAACTAGCTAGAAACATTATCGATTTCTGCACCGAATCATGCCAGACTGCTCAATTAACCTTTCAAAATGATGGCCTCTTTTGTGTAGTGATATCATTAGTCAATATCAGTGGCGAGCCGTCAGGGCCCTCTGTAAGGGCCTAAGATATTCTAAAAAATAATATTTGAAAACATTAAAAAAAAAACATTTTTTTTAAATATATTGTTGTTACATTTTTCATTAGTTTTACCAAAATAACTTGATTTAATTGCATTTAAAATAATATTTCCAAAGAAATAAATCCTTTGAATCTGCCTGTTCAGTTTCTGTTGGAATGTGAAGGGTTAAATGCCGTCTCTGCGAGTTATGTGAAGACCGGAGAGCTTGTTGGTCCCTCTGTACATTCACAGAGGGCCCGCTATAGTAACTCAATGAGAGAGTAATGTCAAATGACAGTACAATTGACCAATCATATCTTCCCTCTAAATGGGCGGGCTTTATTTTCGCGGACTTTATGACAAGTTCCGCCCGCTGTGAGGTCTATGCAAGTGGTGCAGTGACGCGTCCTAAAACCCGGAAGTAAGCTTCGCTCGGATTCCCTCGACAGAAAGCAACGGGATTTCTCCATAGGGTTTTGGAAAACAAACCTGTTAGATAAATGCACGTTTTGTTCAGCCGGATAATATCCACATGTCTATCCTACTTTTATTATTTTTGAATCATAAATCTAAACGATAGATTTATGATCGATATATTTATAATTAGCATAAGTTCGTTCATGATGGCTCACTTCAGTGATAGTGATGACATCGTTGCGAAATTATTAACCGAGTCATTTTCAAGATTGAGTTACAATGATAAACTGGAGTGGCATAGGATCAGCTGCATGACCCGCCATCAAGTGCTTCATCCAAAAGGACAGGAGGATGGACTTTGTGTTTCAGTGATTTGATCATCAAAGGTAGGCCTAAGTCATTTTCAATGTGGGCCGCCGTGCCGACTTAATTCATTTGTAATTGTTACTTGGCTGTAAGTAAGGGAGCCTGTCATGATAGGTGTTTATATAAATGGTGTTGTTTTGTGTGGTAGAGGGTCGCTGTCATTGATGCGTTTTGCACCCCTGGCCGCTGTTTTGATATTCCGCTGAAGTATACGCTGTGACGTAATATCTCTTCTTTTTTTTTTAGGGAAGGGGGGTCAGAGGGCCTAGGTATAAAAGTCACGGCTCGCCACTGGTCAATATTATATAAAAAAAAACACATGGATAACTTGTATTTGTTTAGCGAATCAACCCCAATCACGGCTGGTCCCAACACTTCAGAAGCCAAGATGAAGTTCGTTGAGGGTGAGAAGTGTCCAGAGTTTCACAATTACAACTTGTATCTTTTCGTCTGTCATAATTCACCCATCCCGGTTCTCATATTGCACGCCGTACTTCTCAGTATGAACCAAGACTGCAGGAAGTGCGCAGTGAAACACATTTGAGTATTGGCCAACCTGTGGTATCATCTTTCCGTGTCAGTCAAGTGATGCCACTGGGCTCAAAATGACTTTTTCCATTGACTTGCATTGAGAAAGAGACCTCAGTAAATCTGTGTGTCCATCAACAAAGTAAACCAACTTCCCTGTACTGACACTTGAATAGCCCTTATTTAAATCATAAGGTCCTGACATTGTAAATCAGAAATCCTTTATTTGTCCCACAACGGGGACATTTACAAAAAAATAGCCAAACTAGCGGAATCCAGAGTTATTTCCCTTTTCGTTCATTTGACGGCGCCGAGACTGGACTGATCGGATTGGAGGCGTGGCTTAAGACAAAAGCAGATGTAATCCTTTATTCAATGAGTGCAGGAGATTTTGGTAATGATTTACTCTGTATTGAATCAATATTTGTTTCATTTGGCAGTGAGCAACTTTAATCAGATTAATCGGCCCAGCTTCCAACGCTGTATCCAGTACCCACATGAACGCACTTAGGCACTCAAAACAGCAAGAGTACAGAAGTAAGGGAATTAAGACTAGTGATCTGAAGACTGTCACCTTAGCGTGATGGTCTTGATGGTGAAGGAGTAGTCGTGGATGCCCGTGGTGGGGAATCGAACCCGCAGCACGTCCTGCTCCGTGGGGATGTAGTCCGGGGCGGAGATGCGGTCCAGGTTATTCATGTAGCTGAAAGAGAGAGGAAGGAAGTTCCATATTGTCTCCGTTTACTCCACAGGTCAAGCAAACTGAAGGGACACAAGATATATGATGATGATTAAAAAAAAACAGTGATTAAAAATACAAGAAGGGAGTGGAGCGAGTCCATATCGCCGTGTGCACAGATGACGGCTTTATGGCTCGTGTTGATACAAGCTGTCATTAGCTACAGCCTGTCTCTTATCACACAGCGCTATGATTGAGCTACTGGGTAAACAGAGGAAATAGGACAGAGAAAACTGAGCTGGCTGAGCCTTTGTTCTGGGACACGTTACATACTTTGAGCGTGAGGCTCACACAGGCGGTGTTACATCTTTTCATGATTTAAAAAAAGAATGTCTGCGGTATTGTGACATTCAGGTTCCCCTAAACACTTTAAAAGATGATTCATGTTTCTTCTGACTCACAGGAGTTTGATGTGCTTCTGTATTCACTCTTTGATCAACTGGTGGTTTCAACATGGCTGGAAAATGGCTGAATAAAGAACATTGTGGGGGAACTAGCCCCCTCCAGTGGTCTCAGTACAAAAACACATAGTATACTCATTCTGAGGGTGTGTGGCAGAAAATGAGGGACATATCAATACAAAAGGATCCTTTCTTTTATGATAATGTCATCAAAAGGTTATTGTCTTTAAATGAAAAGAATAAATTAAGAAAACTACAAATAAAAATACAACTTTTAGATGACACAGCGAAGTATGATGCAAAGCGTAAGTGCTGACAATCTCAAATGCAAACGCAGTGCAGGCATACGTCATCAAAAAGTCACATTTACTGTAAGTGCGTAAACGATGCCTATTCAGACTTGGTAGCCCCATCTGACATATACTGTATACTGTATAGAAACTGAATACTATTTAGTTTAAGAGGTGAGTTTTTGCTTTACTCCCCTGGCATTTCGATGCTGCACCTTCTCTTATAGATTCCCGTAGTGTGATATCATCTTGGACAGCTTGCAGTGACGGTGTTTGCTCACATGACGCTCTCATACAGATACTCACTACTCAGTGGAGTCCAGGAGCTGGTACTCGCAGCGTCGGCTGTAACACACCTGCACCCCCGAGTCGTCCCAGAGGCGGCGGATGGCGTCCACGTAGCCGCGCTCCAGATGGCTGATCTGCACCGTGTTTATGTCATGCAGCCACTTCCCGTAAATCTGAAAAAAGTGGGTGTGACATTCAGCATAAACACTCTGTATAGACTACATCGTGCTGAGTGTGTGTTTCTGTGTTTGATGTGGGCACAATCTCTCTGCCCTGATGCCCGCACCACTCTGTCTGTTTATGTGAGACTATACCTCGTTCTCGGGGTTGAAGTAGGGGATTTTGAGCGCGGTCATGGCTCCCGTCATGGCCTTCATGGCTGTGAGGATGTTCTGGAAGATGCATTTGGCAAAACTCCTCCTCTCCTCCTCTGAGAAGCCTCGTCCGTGGATGATCCTCATCTGCCGGATGAAAGTTGTTTTTCCACTTTCTCCAGTACCTGAGGAATTGATAATGTCTCGTGTTTATTTAATTTATAGTGCATTAAAAAAAATCACACGTTTTGCACCAATTACAGACATGTGCAGCACAATTTCAACCACACAAAACAGTTATATGAAGTACACATCTGTCAACGGGGCTTAGCGTCATCGCCTCGCTGTCGCGTTATCTCTCTGTTTATTCATGCTCTATCTGAGTCTTTATGGGTTCCCTCCCACAGTCTAAACACATGCAGGTCAGCTGAAATGAAACCGTGTAGGGGTGAAAATGTTTGGGATTTGTTTACGAGAGTTAAATGTCAAGGGGGATTTCAAAAAGGTGACTGAAAGACATACAGTCACTTTTAACGGGAAGGATTCTTCACTTCAGGATCTGACTGTCTGGTATATAACAATAATAAGTATTATTATTATATTTTATAATATATAATTAGTATTCCAGACAGGATGTTAAATACTAATAACATTTATTAATAATAATAATAACAAAACAACTTTAAAATAACCTTTCATTTCAAGAAGTTTTACAATAAAAACAATAATAAGACTATAAAATCCATGTACGGTACTGGATATAAAACCGTATAATTCAAGTTTAAAAGGCAAAGTTAAGACACAAACCGTAAAAGTGAGTTTGAAGAATCGTTTTTAAAGAGGTCAGTGATTCAGTCATGAACAAATGTTTGAAGACTTGCTGAACTTTTGACTACGGTTTAAGTTCCAGTTTTTTGGGGCTGAATATCGTGACATAGCTAGATTCTGCTCTTAGTGATGAACTCAAATAATGATTCCCTCAGAGGGTTTCAGCGTCTTTCAGCTCATTGGTTTTAAAGTTCGGTGTTTGTTAGATGATGAAAGCTCACACTGTACACATCCTGCTCAGCACCAAACAGTAAGACAAAGGTTAAGACTAGCTGGTAAACATAGTGGAGCATAAATGAGCTACAGAGCCAAATGTGTCGGTTACCAGTTGGTGGAGACCAAAAACAGAGATAAAGGTAGAGTGAATGCTTCCTTTTCGCAAAAAAACTAGTGGTGCACGATAATTATCGACCCGATAATTATCGGTCCGATATTAGGAATTATGACGTCATCCCGATAAACCCGATGACAGTATTAATAGCCCCGATAATATACAATATATTTTTTGGGTAAAAAAAAAGAAAGAAATACTGCGGTGTGGGTGGATTGGGATGAGGGGCGCTTGTTTTTCACTCGGCTCCTCCCGCTTTGCCAGTACTGTGGTATTAGTGGTTTAAGGAAGAGGGGAGTTTTTCACAAATCCAGCGCTCCCTAACTCATGCCTGGCTGTGACGTAAATGGTGTGCGGCCATGAAGCCAGGACAGTAAACAAACATGTCGTCGGTAGTATGGGACTATTTCAAAGTTTCAGAGTTAGATAGTTCGCTTGCTATTTGTATTAACAAATGCAGAAGTTCCACGAGGAGGGAAAAAGGCAACGAGCTATAATACTTCCAACCTGATTAGTCACCTGAAACATCGCCATCGCTACGATGGTGTGTTAAAAGCGTACGAAGACGACTGAGCTGCTAAACTAGCGGCGAATCCAAAGCCAGCTGCAAAGGCACCGGGGCTTTTACCTATCGATGAGGCTTTTGAAAAAGGCAAGAACTTTATTTGGGAAAATAAATATGGTCACTTTGAAGAGTCAAAACTGTTCTTGGCTTTGTTTTGTTCATAGTAGTAATGCTCATGTCATTTGCTCACTACTAGTCTTTTTTTTACCACCAGGTGTGCAAAAACTACAGGTACATTTAATATATATATATATTATATTATTATCGGGTATCGATATCGGTCTTGAGAAGCAGGAAGTTATCGGTATCTGTTTCAAAAAACCAATATCGTGCATCCCTAAAAAAAACACTACCAAAAATATTATATTTAGGAATGTGATCTGGACGCCATACTGCAGTTCCACAGATACAAATCTAAAAGAAGATTTAAAAAAAACATTGACCTTTTAACACACATACGCAGTTTGCACAGACACGTCTACACATACACAACTACTGACAATGGCAACCTGTTGCACCACCCTCATGGCCAACATCTACATCATAGTAGACAAGTGTTGAGAGGATTAACAGATTTAGTTTGATAAGACTGTTTGTAGCAGTTCAGCCTGCTCATTTTGTGCCGTGGTTACAGTCTGTAAGGCCACAAACACAGGGGTTAGTCAAATGTAGGTGAATAAATGTGCAGAGTATTATTAAATGATTAATCCCCTCTTCAGTTAAGGGCTTCAGGCAGCAGTTGTTGGAGACTTTGAAGCAAGTGACTCTAGTCTATAATGAATTTAATTAAAACCATTATTTTCCCTTTGTCATATATATGTGTTTATTATATCTTACCAAATGTTGACCAAATGTTAAGATTGATGAGTTGGTGTTATATATATATTATTTTTTTAGGTTATTTGGTTGGTGTTAAGGTGTTTTTTACTTTCTTTTAAGTGTCCTTTTTTAACTTATAGATAGCTTATCAAGGTTTCCCATTCACGTATCTCCATTTTGTCTTATGGTTTTACTTGTATTTTAAACTTTGTGAGCAAAATGAATTGAAAGAACAGTATCGGTAAAATCCAAGTTATCAGAAGCTGAATTTCAACAATACTCTGAGTCATCTCAGCGCTGTTTCTCAGCTACTTCTGCAGTTAAGTGATGAAAAACGCCCTTAAAAGAAAACCAGTCAACCATAAGGTGACAGAACCAGATGTCTGCCTCTCACACATTTTCACCCCACGGTTCATTGTCAGCCTTGGAGATTAATAGAACATTTGAAAGTCATCCAACCAGCTGCAGGCCTGTAGGTTTCTGTGGCTTTCAGGTATTCAGGATCCCAATCCGAACCATACTTTGCATACTGTCACAGTGACACATGCTTCACATAGTTTTCACACTGTGCTGCAGGGCTACCAAACAGGACAGGCAGTGTTAAAGAAGGGCATTCCTTTATCATGCCCTTTTAAACTGTCTGAGTTCATTTATTTACCTTATAAAATATAATTGCCATCACTGCTTTTTTAAATTATTTGATCTCATATTAAATTTAAAAAAAAAAAAAATTCAAACTGAAATGTTGGACAGAGGAAAGCATTGCCACCTTACAGGCATGTTTGGACTGCACGGATTGGGATGTGTTTTATAGCTCATGCTCTGATCTCAATGAACTGACGTCAACTGTCTCATCCTACATATCATTTTGTGTGGAGTCTAACATTCCTTGTAAAGACATTACCGTCTTCCCTAATAATAAGCCGTGGGTCACGAAGGAACTAAAGAGTGTTATAAATAGAAAGAAACGTATATTTTATACTGGAAGCAGTCAGGACAAAAAAGAAATTAACAGAGAATTAAGAAATGAGATAAGAAAAGCTAAAATAGCTTATAGGGATAAGGTGGAACTCAAATACAGCAGTGGAAATCTTCGGGAAGCCTGGAGGGGAATCAAATCAATGTCCTCCATCTCCCAGGGTAACAACAATGACAGGGCTAGGAATACAATTAACATTGAGGGAACAAATGAGGCAGACCTCCCCAATGCTTTTAACATTTTTTATTCTCGATTCGAGAAAAATGATTTCTCCATAAACACCTCAACCCTTAGAGAGTCTCTCTCCCCTATCTCAGACATAGTCATTGAACAGGATGATGTTAGGAATCTCTTAAAACGAGTCAATATTAGGAAGGCCCCAGGTCCTGACCATATTTGTGGGCGGACACTCCAGTATTGTGCTAGCAAACTCTGTGGTGCTTTCCAGCATATCTTCCAATTGTCACTTCAGAATAGCCAAATTCCTGATATGTGGAAATCCTCAACTGTAATTCCCATCCCTAAGAAGCCTCATCCTAAAGTCCTAAACGACTTCAGACCGGTGGCTTTAACGTCATTGGTAATGAAAATGTTTGAAAAAATGGTTAAAGGCCTTGTCATGTCAGTAATAGGTGGTGAACTTGATCCACTACAATTTGCGTATCAGGCAGGGAGAGGCGTAGAGGATGCAAAGCTTTTTATAGCCTATTATGTCATTTTAAACTGCCCGATCAACTTGTTTTATGGATTTTAAACTTTCTAACTAATAGAGAGCAGAAGGTGTCTGTCAATGGACGCCTCTCTGACTCTGTCATCACTTCCACGGGCTCGCCTCAAGGATACGTTCTTTCGCCCCTACTTTTTATAATGTACACTGATAAATGCAGGAGCATGCAAGACAACAGCTACTTGGTTAAATTCTCTGACGATACCGCCCTCTTGTCCCTCCTTAGCGGCTCCGAATCAGGCCACGAGGGTGCTCTTACCGACAGTTTTCTGGATTTAAATGTCTCCAAAACCCAGGAATTGATCATTGATTTTAGACGTCACAAGAATGTTCCTAAGGAGTGCATCATACACAATGACAAGGTAGAAATTGTCACATCATACAAATACTTGGGCACCTTTTTCGATGACCACCTCAAATTTGATGTGAATACTGAGTGTATTGTGAAGCGGGGTCAACAGAGAATGCACCTTCTTCGCAAACTGAACTCTTTCTCTGTCAGGCCTTTCATTCTTTGTCGTTTTTACCAAGCATTCATTGAGAGCCTTATTTGTTTTTATTTTATCTGCTGGTTCCATAGCCTTACACTGAAAGACAGGAACAGCCTGAACAGCATTATTAAAACCTGCTCCAAGATCATCGGCGTGAAACAGAGACTTAAATTCCTTCTGTAACCAACAGATTCTGCGGAAAGCAGAGAGCATTCTGAACTCTCCAGGTCGTGTTCTTTCACGTGAATCTCGTCTGTTGCCATCAGGGCGAAGATATGCTCTACCTGCTCAAAGGACTAATCGCTTTTCTAAATCATTCATCCCTTCTGCACTCAAACTTTTAAATTCTTGAAAAGGCTTTTAACTTGATTATTTATTTATTATTGTGATGCTTTGAACTATTTATAGTGTGAATTAGAATTATTCACATCTGTGCTCCCGGGTGTCTCTGTGTGTTTTCTTCTTGTATGTTCCTGCCTGTGTACATGACATAAGCTGCTGCTCATAACCAATTGCCCCTTGCGGGATTAATAAAGTTGTTGATTGATTAAATCAGAGGTGCAAGAATCAAATCAAGTTTTATTTATATAGCACATATATATATATATATATATACAGCGATTTTTGGTCGAGCCAAAGTGCTGTACATGTAATAAAAACACATTACTACAATCACAACAAAAGACAATAATTTACAACAGAAATATAAAAAACTAAAACACAGGGAATAGTCAGGAGTCGTGCTCCGCTCTGACTAGAAGGCCAGGGAGAAGAAGTGTGTTTTTAGTGAGGATTTAAAAAACCCTAGTGTCTGGGCCGACCTCACATGGAGGGGCAGACTGTTCCAGAGCCTGGGGCCAGCTGCTGCGAAGGCTCGGTGCCTGGGTTTTGAGCCTGGTCTTGGGCACTATCTGCAACAGCTGGTCAGCAGACCTTAAAACTCTGGCTGGGGTGAAGCGATGGAGGAGTTTGGCTATATAGGCCGTAGCCAGCCCATTTAGGGTTTTGGAAACAAATAAAAGAAGAAGTACTGAGATATTTTACTTAAGTGAAAGGAGTAATAATAGAGTGTGTATAAGTGCTCTGTCACATGTGAAATTCCTGCATTACTCGGGGGAGATTGCAGACAAAACATAGTCTGTTCCAAGTAAGAGTAAAGATACTCTTATGGACACAGCCCATTCAAAAAGTATAAAAAATAATGATAATAACTATTTTATATATAATTGTATTTATACATTTGTATTAATGCATTAATGTGTTCATTACATGAATGCTGCAGCAGGTCAAATACAAGCTAGGCATTACTATATAATGCCAAGTAGCTTGTAAATGTCGTCATGGCATCAAAAATGTTTTATATTCTAATCAATCTTATAATTAAAATATATATATATTCTCTTATAATAATATATTTTATTGTATATTAATAACAACGTTTTAAATACAGTGTTAAACCTATAATAATTGGAATTTATTATCAATTATTTATCATTAAAATGTGTTTTATTAATCAGAATTTTCAAGTTGGAAATGTAATGGAGTAAACAATTATTATATAAGTAAATATTTGCCAATGAAATGTAGTACAGTAGAAGTATAGAGTAGCAGATAATGGAAAGTAAAGTAGCCTACATTAGTGAATAAAATAAAAATGTGTCACTGACCCAGCAGGAGGATTTTAATTTCCCTTCTCTCCTTCTTCTTCTGCTGCTTGAGGATCCTCGCGATCTCCTTGTCCACCGCGAGGCCGGTCTTGTCCTCCTCCGACAGGCAGCACACAAACAGGCTGGGGCAGCACGGCCAGCAGCCCGCCATGGCCCACAGAAACCCTGAGCAAAACACTGTTAATGAATAATCAGCTGCACGTTATGAGCCGATAAGGACTGACAATAAACTCGTTGTCAAGTTCGGGATTTTCTAATTAATGGACCTGTCAGGATCTATTCTAACACTACACACCCCCCCCCGGAAATCTTACTTTTACATAGACAGGTACACTTTAACAGGTGTTTTTACACTTTTACAGGTGTTTAAATGCGTTTTTCGCCCTTTTGCAGTGTGTTGACATCATATACACCTTTAAATAAACGTTGTGCTAATTCAAGAGAAAGTCAAAGTCATAAAAGTAAAAAAACAAACAGCTTTCTTTTACCTGTAAATCAGACCGTCACACTCCCTGAAAACGAGCAGGGACAGTCTCTTATTTCTTGGTGCGCTCCATTTCTCCACCGGGTCCCCCGGTCCACCTGCGGCTAACAGCTAGCAGCTACTGTCGCTGAAGCGCACAGACAGCGTCATTGGTTAGCCCGCTGATACGGAGTTAAAACTACTTTCTCAAATCTCTTTCAGCCCACTCTAAACAACCTGCCGCCCGGGAAAGTCCACACCGCACCTTCAGAGGAATGTGCAGCTCCGTGCTCCGCTGGAAACGCTCTGCGGCAGGAATGCGCTCTGGGCGGCGACGCGGCAAGAGAGCGGCAAACTACCGCAGCAGCGCCGGAAGTAAGAGGAGTGTGCGTGTAAAATAAGAGCATTAGGTTGTAGCTTATTATGCATATTATACATGTTTCATATTGTAGTACAGTGCACAATTCAACTTAAATATGTTATTTTGTATTCATATTTTACTTGATCTATTTTAAATGATCTTTTTTGGAAATTTTATTTTCCCTTATGTATATATAAAACCCTCTTTTTATTCTTACTTGATGAATTTCCTATATTTATGTAAGTAATAAGGACATATATATATATATATATATATATATATATATATATATATATTATCCTTTTATTCGACATTCTTACTTTTATTATTGTTGTATTTGATCTTAAACTGTCACCAAACCCAATTCTCACTAGATAAATAAAATATTCTGACGATAAGGATTCATAAAAGATTTGACATGCAATTCATATGATCAATTTGTATATGATGATTTCATATAACGAACCAATACTTTATACAAAAATGAGCCACACCACTAAGGCTTCAAATGTAAACAGTGCCTACCTAGCTAGTAATAAACTAGTATAATGCATAATTATTACATCTCATAGGAACAATTGTCTACGATGAGGAGTAAACACTTTTGATTTCTTTAAGTACATTTTGTGTTAAATACTTAATTACTTTTACATAAATGTCATTTTAAAAGATTGACTTCCGCTTGTAACCAAATATTATTCATGCTTAAGTCGTGTCCACACAGAGAAGTGCTGCAGTATATTTTTCCACCTGCAGTGTGATTCAATGTTGATATTGACCACTCCTCATGTATATTGTTCCAAAGTCAATAAGCTGCTCATGAGTCTTGCCTGACGTCTGCGGGACGTAAACGGATATGACAGAATACACAAAGCTGTAGGAACAGGCCAGACTGCTGCGTGTGTTGACAGGAAACTTGATATAATAATAGCCAAAGCTAAGTTTCGCCAAGTTCATGAGTTTTGACACTGACATAAAACTCCAGTAAATGATACTCACAACAACACTTTTTTTTCATTCATTGATTTCACAAGGACGTTGCAAACTAGCAAATAGTACTGTAAATATGCCAGAATGAGCCAGGAGGCTGGTTTTATCTTTAATCCTTCATGGATTTCTGACATCAGGATGACAGTGGCAGTCAGTCCGGCAGTGGCTCAGTCAGTAGGGGCTTGGACTGTGAGCCGTAGGGTCGCTGGTTCAAGTCCCCGACCAGACCTAAATATGGAGTGTGGTCTGCTTCTTGGAGAGGTCCCAGTTCACCTCCTGCCCTGCCGTGGTGCCCTTGAGCAAGGCATCGGACACCCCCCCCCTCTTTACATGCTCCCCGGGTGCTGTGCAATAGCTGCCCACTGCTCCTACTAATAGACTCCTGGTACTAGGATGGGTTAAAAGCAGAGAACACATTTCACTCTGTGTGCTCTGCATGTGTGACCATGAACCAGGATGTATTTATTGACAGAGATTTGTTTTTGGCATGTGTTATTTACTATTTTATTCCTGTATCAGAATCAGAATAGTAGTTTTCACATGAAAGGAATTAGCTTTAGTGTATTGGTGCATACATCAACACAGTAAAAGAGAAAACATTTGGAAAATAAATATATTGAAAGAATACGAAAAGTAAAAAGAAAAAATTAACACAAAAATTAACCAAAACATAAACAAAATGACTAAGAAAATCCCAGTCACAGACAGTTTATCTGACAACATGTACCCCTCCCTCATCGACCTTGAAGTGTAGCCTCAGTTGCAGCACCGTGGCTGCTGGTGTAGCAGCCCAGGTCGATGAGGGGGAGGGGTACATGTTGTCAGATTGAGGAAAACATTCACCAGGAGAGTTTTCTTGACTAATAGAATTAATTCTGGGGGTTGGAGCTTAGACTTTCCCACTTTCAATATTAAGGACCACCCTACGTGAGGCTAAACTTCAAGGTTGATGAGGGAGGGGTAAATGTTGTTGGAATTTGAATCAAATTCACCAGGAGAGTTTTCTTGACTATCATAACGAATTCCGGTGGTTGGAGCTTAAAATAAATGAATTCGAAAATGTACATGGCACTAAGGACCACCCTAATGTATATTTACATTAAAAATAAAAAGCATTGCATTTTTAAATGTGGTATTATTAAATGTACACAATTGTGAGGCCTAAAAAAGCTGTAAAAAAAAGTTAAAATAACTTTACATATATATGTTTTTGTTCATGCTGTCTGACTCCGTTTTGTAATTTACCTACTTTGGTTTTATGTATACTTTCCCACCTAAGTGTTTTACATGGTCAAACCACAGCATTATTTTGAAAGCTCGTACCGGAAGTGGTTATTCTGTAACATGGTTCGTTTTGACAGCAGAATGAACGCGATGCGGATAAAGTTTCGGCTGCAGAGAGCTTCATGTTTCAGCTTCCGAGCACTGAAGAGTTACATATGACTTAATGTGTTGGGAAATATTACCTGTACACCACCTGATTTCAGCTAACTATTCTAAAACAAAGTGTATTTTTATTCTTTGGGGGGGGGGGGGGGGGGGGGGGGGGGGGGGGGGGGGGGGCTTAGTTTTCATTACAAAACGTTACCAGTCGATTTGAATTTACTTTTTATCATTTCCCTTTGCATGTGATACAAAATATTAAGTAATACAGTTGGATACCCACAGAATACAAAAAGTACAACAATGTCTGTATAAATTTTTTATTTAATGTATTTTCATTTGATAAGAACAATGCAATTAAACATATTTCCCAAATAGCGAAGAGAGAGTTTATAAATAGCTAAAGTTCATTTGAAAGCCTTGTTTCTAGTTGGGCGTTGACATTTGAAGTTAAAATATACAGCATTAAAATATAAAACCACAATACATTATTTAGATAAAAAAACATAAGGTGCCCATCACATAATACACATACTACATACTGTACACTAATACACCTGTATAGGTAAAAACTCATTACTGAGCACTATGAAAGGTTGTTCTGTGAGTTAGTGATTCCAGCAGGTTGTATTTCACCCTGAGTGTTTCTGAGCAGAGTTGAAGTGCAGCAGGTATTTCGTCCCTCCTACTCCTCGCCTGGTATTAAGGTGTCAATCTTTTGTCTTGGCCCGCAGAACCGGTCGGTCCAGGTGTTCATTCTCAGGTAGAGATCACCTGAGCTCTGCATCGCCATGGTAACAAGGGAGGGGAAAGACCTGGAGACAGGGGTAGACTGGCCATCGGGAATACCGGGAGTTTTCCCGGTGGGTCGGTGCTGTGTGTGGGCCGGAGGGCCGGTCGGATTTGCAAAAAAAGAAAAACAATTTTTTTTAATTATTATTATTTTTTGGCTCGCTTGGCTGGCTGGCTGGGGCTGGCTGGCGCTGGGCTGGGCTGGCTGGCGCTGGGCTGGCTGGCGCTGGGCTGGCTGGCGCTGGGCTGGCTGGCGCTGGGCTGGCTGGCGCTGGGCTGGCTGGCGCTGGCTGGCGCTGGCTGGCGCTGGCTGGCGCTGGCTGGCGCTGGGCTGGCTGGCGCTGGGCTGGCTGGCTGGCCGTTTTGATAGGCTACCCATGTTCTATCTATCAGATAGTTTCACTTTCACATATCAGTGATGTAGGAAGGGCCAGATCCATTCGCAGCATGGTACGCAAGTACCATTGTCTTGAAGTGGATTCTAGCAGTTATCGGAAGCCAGTGAAGGCAGCGGAGGAGCGGCGTGGTGTGGGAGAATTTAGGAAGGTTGAAGACCAGGCGAGCAGCTGCATTCTGGATGAGCTGCAGAGGTCGGATGGCACATGCAGGTAGACCAGCCAGGAGGGAGTTGCAGTAGTCTAGGCGTGAGATGGCGAGAGCCTGGACCAGAACCTGCGTCGCTTTCTGGGTCAGCTGGGGACGCATCCTCCTGATGTTGTAAAGCGTGTATCTGCAGCAGCGGGTTGTAGCAGCGATGTTTGCAGTGAAGGACAGGTTGTTATCTAGGGTCACACCCAGATTCCTTGCAGTCTGAGTTGGGGAAACAACTGAGGTGCCAATGTTGATTGTTAGGTCAAGAGTGGGACAATCTTTTCCCGGAAGGAAAAGCAGTTCAGTCTTGTCAAGGTTGAGCTTGAGGTGATGATCAGACATCCACTGAGAGATGTCAGCTAGACAAGCAGAGATGCGTGCGACGACCTGGGTCTCTGAGCGGGGAAAGGACAGAATCAATTGGGTGTCGTCAGCATAGCAGTGGTATGAAAAACCATGCGGGCTAATGACTGATCCGAGCGAGTTTGTGTACAAGGAGAAGAGGAGGGGACCAAGAACAGAGCCCTGAGGGACCCCTGTAGTTAATTGACAAGGGTCGGACTGCGACCCTCTCCAAGTAACCCTGTAGGTGCGGTCTTTGAGGAATGAGGTGAGGAGGGAAAGTGCAGAGCCTGAAACTCCAAGTGCTTGGAGAGTGCGAAGGAGGATCTGATGATTCACCGTGTCGAATGCAGCAGACAGGTCCAAAAGGATGATGACAGAGGAGAGGGAGGCTGCTTTAGCAGTGTGCAGTTCCTCAGTGACAGCAAGGAGGGCAGTTTCTGTGGAGTGACCTGCCTTGAAACCAGACTGGTGCGGATCCAGAAGGTTGTTCTGATTGAGATAACAGGAGAGTTGTCTAAAGACAGCGCGTTCAAGTGTTTTAGACAGGAGCGGGAGGAGAGAGACAGGCCTGTAGTTTATAACATCTGACGGGTTGAGAGTGGGTTTCTTTAGGAGAGGGTTTACTCTTGCCTCCTTGAGACTGTTTGGAAAGTGACCAGAAGTTAGAGAAGTGTTGATGAAATGGGTGAGAAACGGTAGAATATCAGGAGCGATAGTCTGAAGGAGGTTTGAAGGGATAGGGTCCAGAGGACAGGTGGTAGGGCGGGCAGAGGTAATGAGGGTAAGAACCTCACTTGGAGAGAGAGGGGAAAAGGAGGTCAGTGTGTGGGTGGAAGGAGGGTCTGGTGACCCAGCGGTGAGTAGAGGTGAGTCAGAAAAAGAAGAGCGAATATCATCAACCTTTTTTTCAAAGTGGTTAACAAAGTCGCTTGACAGAAGGGAGGAGGGGGAAGGGGCTTTGGGGGGGGTCCAGGAGGGAGGAGAAGATGGAAAATAGTTTTTTGGGATTGGAATAGGAAGATTGGATCTTATCTTGAAAGAAAGTGCTTTTTGCCTGAGAGATCGAAGCAGAGAAAGAGGAGAGGAGAGCCTGATAGGTTAGGAGGTCGTCACGATGTTTGGATTTCCACCATTTCCGCTCTGCTGCCCGAAGGACGGTTCTATTAGCACGCAGTGCGTCATTTAGCCAGGGAGCAGGAGGGGACTGACGAGCCTGCCGAGATGTGAGAGTCCAGAGAGGATGAGAGAGTAGAGAGGAGAGTTTCTGCAGCAGAGTTTGGAGGTAGGAGTTGGAACGAGTCAGAGGAAGGGAGGGCTGAGAGCACCGATGAGGCAAAGGTAGAGGGGGAGAGGGAACGAAGGTTACGGCGGACAGGTGCATGATGGGAAGAGATTAGTTTGTTATGTTTGGAAAGGGGTAGAGAGAATGAAATGAAGAAGTGATCGGATGTGTGGAGCGGGTTTACAGAGAGGTTAGAAGTAGTGCAGTTCCTTGAGAATATGAGATCAAGGACATTGCCAGCTTTATGAGTTGGTGGGGACGGAGACAGTGAGAAAGCAAAGGCGGTTAACAGAGATGTTAGTTAGTCTATCTTCCCTGTCTGGAGGTTGAAGTCTCCGAGAAGTACAGCGGGAGGACCAGTTTCAGGGATGTGTGAGAGGAGAGGTGTGTGTGTGTGTGGGAGGTCTTGATAGAGTTGGTTTATTAAGCATTAGGAATTATTTATTGCACTCTATACACATGATGTTAATCGTATTGTATGCTGGCAGCACGTGTGTGGTGTGTGTGTGTGTGTGTGTGTGTGTGTGTGTGTGTGTGTGTGTGTGTGTGTGTGTGTGTGTGTGTGTGTGTGTGTGTGTGTGTGTGTGTGTGTGTGTGTGTGTGTGTGTATAACACATTTTATTTTTGCCATATTATATTGAGTATTCTTTGCAGTATCTTGATGTGATATTTAGAATATAAATCACAATATTTTAATATCATTGAGGGAAATGTAATGATGTTAGCCATATTTCACAGCTTTTTGCCCATTTTTATATATAAGTTAAACACAAGTTATACTGTATACTGTAATAAACCAGCCTACACACTGTAATATAATCTATTACAAATATATAAACATACCTTACTTTATATATATATTCAAGTTGGCAAGTTGTATAATCTATTTTAAACAGTAAATGGACTGTACTAGTGCTTTATCCAGTCTTTACGACCCCTCAAAGCGCAAATATCTTTGGACATGGCATCAACACACCCAAGCAAATTCCTTGAATATGAAAATTACCCAGAATCTGATTTAGATTATTTAATAAAGTTAGGAGAAAGCTGCTGCACGAGGACCATTGTATACTAAGCGTGTTTCTATGTGCTGAAACATCCTCACAGGCGAGAGGAGACTTTGTCCCCGTCTCCGGCTGCTGTGGGAAACAGACGAGGATCAATGATTAACGCGGGGATGATGGAGGTGATGGAGCACCGCCCTCTCTTCATGTGTTCTCTCTTCTAACGATGAATTCACTTTTGCAAACTGTTGTTCATCATTACATTACATGTCATTTGTTAGACGCTTTTATCCAAAGCGACTTACATACATTCAGTACTGTGGACAATCCCCACAGGAGCAATTTGGGGTGAAGTGTCTTACCCAGGGACACAACGACATGCTGACTGCTGTGGGACTCCAACTTGCTACCCCCTGATTCGAAGTCCAGCCCTCTATCCACTGAGCCACAGCTCTATCCACTAAGCCACAGCCGCACTCATCAAGAGAAATCCTTTAAACTAAATGTTAAGGCATTGCTGTTTAAGGGAATGCAATTAAACTGTATTTACTATTCTTTTGCAAGGTTGCAATAAAAGGTGTTTAACATGAATGAAACTGAAATTCAACAATAAACATCGCATAGTAAAAGAGTTAAATAAGGTTCTGAGGATGCAAGTAAAACCAAACAATGTTTTACATTTAGTTTAGAATGCCTTTAAATTACAAACACCATAAACAATTTAAAAAAAAGTTGTATTTCTACCTGAAGTAAATACCATTTGATTGTTCATAATACTAAGTTGTTCCCATCCTTTATAAGGCTTGAGACCTCTTTAAATACAATTCTTTAGATAACATTATGTTCAGTGGTGGAAAGTACCTAAGTACATTTACGGCAGTACCATACAAATGAAAGGTACTTGTACTTTACTTGAGTATATCAATTTTTCACTGCCACTTTGCATTTATACTCCACTACACCTCAGAGGTTGATATTATACTTTGTATAGCTTTGGTTACTTCGCAGATTCAGTTTAATATACAACATCTAATCAAACACAGGGAGTACTTAGTCTTCTTTTAAGCAGGACTTTTGAGGACTTTAAATTAAATAAGTCTTACGGAACCCACCTGTTGCAACTACATCTCACGTCCACAAGATGTCACCTGACTCTGCAGTATTGTCTGGCAGCCTTTAAGATTTAAATACAGAATGGCAGCATGGGTTACAACAGTGGAAAACATTTTGTCCTTACTTTTGTTAACAGTGGTTGATAGAAGCCCAATAAATGAAATACAGTACTAATAATTTACTTGATTATTGACATTTTCTGCTACTTTATTCAGATATACTGTTTTATTGTCACTTAGATTTGTGTAAGATGTAAATCTGTCTTGAGTCCACACAATCATATTTTAATCTTAGAAAAACTAAGTTGCAGTTATAAAAATATGAATGGATTATCCTTCCACTGGCAATACAAATGAAATGGGATGGGATCAAAGAAAGCGTCTGAACATTTCTTCCACACTGCACTGGACAAGCTGAAAAACCTCCTGAGCAGCATATTATAGGCTACATAACATGTCAATTCTAAAGTTAAGAACAAGTATTTCTGAATAGTAGGCTCCTTAAGTAATTCAGTAAATGTACAGTTCTCTGTTTGCAGACAGATGATTAAATATGTCTTGAATAATCTTGTGAAACTCCAAGGTGACAGTGAAGATCAACAGCTGTAGGCTAGCAGTCAGGATAAGCTCACAGTGTAAGGATTAAACACTTTGTTTAAGATAATATTTTACAATAGGACACACAAAATGAAATGTAAAAGACACAAGGCCAAGGTGTCTATACGAAGAGGAAAATAACAACAAGGACAACAAGGCCTTTCATTCAAAAGTCTGAGCAATGCATTAACTTCAGTACTGCAGGTATAATAGTGCAGTCCTCAAAGATTTGAATATTTAAAGAGTCCTGCATTCGACATATTCATTAAGTTCCTTCATAAAAACAGGCCAGACTTTGTATACATGTGGTACTTACAGTAGGGGTCAAAATACTTTCTGCCCTATAGATCAAGTGTTCTATAGGGAAAACACCCCTAAGCAAATGATTAGAGGTTCTTATGAACATCTGGAAAAAAAGGAGTTTGTTTTAAAATATTTTTTGTAATTGATGTTTTTGTCTTTTTTTGTTCCAGTTTACCCACATTTATTTATTTTTCTCATGTCTTTATTCAATAAAAATCATACATTTAATTCATATAGCACTTTGATAATAACCCATAGAAACTTTACATTTACTTCCTATTCTTAAGGTTTCTCATGGTTGCATAATCAGAATAAGACCTTCACACTACAAGGAATTGCTTTGGTGTAAGGTGGTGCAAACATAAACAACATAAGGAAATACGTTGTAAGAGAAGGTAAAAAATGTAACAATTATAAAAAGAAAATACAATTAAAGGGGACCTATCATGCAAAATGCATTTTTTGATGTCTTTTATACATAAATATGTGTCCCCGGTGTCGGGGAACTCACGCAGCGTCAGAAAATAAAACCCTCTCTCTTTTCCTCCGTACCAAATCTCTAAAAACGGGGCTACAACGGGCGGATACAGATTTGCTGCCGACATGACGTCAAATTGGCAGCAGACCCACAGAAAGTTCCTATCAGAAACAATGCCTGACGTGTTTTGGACGTAATCTCGTCTTTGTTTACATTAGCAAGCCTCGCTAACACTCAGAGCTAACCTGTACTGGAGAGCACATGTGTTTAACAAGCAGGAAATAAAAACCCACAAGGTGAGTGGGTGAGAATTGTCCGGGGCTTTACCTGAACCTCATCATGACACTAGAGAGGACGGCATGTAATTTCCCGTGTTCAGTGAATGCAACAGAGGCAAGACAAGAAGACCAATCACCAGAAAGTTGCAAGGAAATAAACGTATCTTATTGGCTGACAGGTACCTATCCTGTGACAATGTTTAAGCTGTCAGTCAGGCCGTTTCTCAATGTCGAGTAAACCTGCTGCAGACCCACTATTTCAAGTATACTACGTCATCGAGAGGCGCCGAAGGACTGTTTAAATGCATGTTAAATGCCCAGCATTCGGCGCCACTCAATGACGTAGTATACTTGAAATAGTGGCTCTGCAGAAGGTATACTCGACATTGAGAATCGGACTCGTGAGTTTTTGAAGATGGACATAAGAACATGTTTTCTTAAAAAAGACGACAATTCTCAAGTGGTGGCTCACACAACAACCCCAGAGCCACCACTTGAGCCAGGTAAACAAGGTATGTAAATGTCAGTAAACTTCCAAGTTATGTGAACATGTAAACAAAGCATAAATTACAGCTACGTTGTTGACGTTACTTTGAATTGCGCGGGTAAGCTAAACCGTTAGCAAGTAGCTATAGCTAGCAAGAGATATTAAATTTAACACTTTGTCATACCATATAAATGTAATGTTTTTTTAGCGTTACCTGGTGACTTCAAAGAAAGGTCTCTGGAAAATGTTGACTTACTGTCAGTATTCGACAGGTAGAAGCTACCTTACATTACACAGTCAAAGGGGAGTGATTTATAAAATATCCATAAAGAAAAAGAAAATCTGTTTACAGTTCTGTTTCATATGGATGTTGAAATATGTATCCATATCTCTTAATTTTGCTCTCAAAGTGCACCAGATTGATGCTTTTAACTTCAATATTTAAAAAAAATCTTCGGTGAGGACCCCCCTAGAGGAGGTGAGGAACCCCTAGAGGAGGTTAGGTCCGCCCCCCACTTATAAAAAATAGCACTTTACCCCTGCTTACACCTATATGCCGTGAGCTGATTATCGAGCCTTCATTGTAACAGTCGCAGGTGTACTGTGTATGTGCGTGTGAGGAGTGTTGCAGTAGAAATTTCCACTGTAGCGCCCGGTACCTTAATGTACCTTAATGAACTGTGGGCTAAGCCCCAAATGTTTCCAGGTCCAGGAAACGCCCCTGGTAAACCTGCAAGAGAAAAAGCATTTGAGCTCTATACTGTTTCAATAAATAATCCTTGATGTGGTTTAGAACAGGATGGCGTTTTATCACAGCAGAATTTAACTTTATCTCCCGTAGAATTCTGATCAGGCATTAGCTCAGTCTCCTCTTTTTTTTTTCAAGCTAAGGACCCAAAATCCGCGTTTCTCTAACAGGGCTGCAAAAGAGGGGTATGAGCAGTATGAGGCATGGCTACAATGGGTGATCTGTTTGGTATTTGAAGCAAAAAACTTCACAGACATGTTTTGTATAGGTATGGCCCTACAATATATGTTTCCAATATAGCATAATAGGTCCACTTTAAATTAAAGAGAATAAAAACAAGTATTTACGCCAAATATAAATATACAAAACAAAAAAGAAAAACTTATCACAATGGATATGTATATGCCAAACTGCAGTATATTTCTGCTTCTGTACGTCTATATTTATGTTGCTGCAATATTTTGTATTTATAGAACATTTTAATTTATCCAGAATATTTTATATTATTTGTGAAATATGTATTTTCTACTGTATATGTGGTTATATTGGCTGTTTATGTTTTTTTTTATTGCATTATGGTTCTTCTTTATCCCACCTTTTAAATGTAACACACTGCTGCTGTAACAAAACAATTTCCCAGTTTGGATCAATAAAGTATCTATCAACTATTATATTTTTAAGATGAGGGCTGTGCAGAAATGTGAGCAGTTCTTTATGGAGTGTCTTTATGTGTTTCTGAGTCAGTGCATTTCTTCTTGTGAATGTGGATGTTACCATGAATAAACTGCTGTGCCCCTCTCCCCTGGATGTCTCTGACAGATGGGCGTTGCCCGTGCAGCCTAATTTCAGTTGCTTTCGCCGACACGCCTCCGAAAGGAAGACTTCCTCTCAAGCAAACTTGGGAAGTTAACCATGCGGCAAAGTCCCACCTTAAACGCCAACACACGCTGTTCTCATTGGCTCTCGCCCTTGTCAATCACTTATATCCCAAGCGACGTCAGCAGCAGGCAACTACACCACACCGGGGCTGAGGAGTGGGAGACGAAGAGCAATCAGCACCACCAGGAAAAAAAAAATACCAGGAGCGATACAAAAAAATGTACGGACTACAAGGGAACATCTGACTGTCAGTGTTGGGGCATTTTGAAGGCGACGTTTTTCCCTATCTTGACACATGAAGGTCTTCTGTCAGGCTGAGCTTTCTGGTTTTTCGCCAGTTGGCTGCAATTCCAGGGATGGCTAGCTAAGCTAACCTAGCTAGCTAACAATTAGCCTGCCCATTTAGCTTCCACTGGTCACTGGGTGCAACAGGATAACTGCCCTGAACGTGATACTAAAGCATTGTTCTTCAGCTGGATTGACACAATAGCTATCAATCGTCGAGTGCTAGAGACAACAGGGATATAGTTTCTGTGTGTTCCGTAGATGGACAGTTTTACGGTGCGCTCATTGTCGCTACGCGGGCGTACAGTGATGGTTTCGGGGCGGCTAGCCTTCTACTCGGCCGGGCGACCAGCGGAGGGATTGTACAAATGTGGCAGCCTGTAGTGTCCCACTGTCTCTGGGACCGAAGTCTGTAGTTTTGAAATAAAATACTGCTTATATATTTTGGATGAGTGTTAGATTTGCTGGCTAAGGATTATAAAAGTATTTGTACGTTGAACATTAATCAACTTGTTAGCTTGGTCCTTAGCTTACGAGCTACTTTCCCAAACTAAATCCAGCTGTTTGTTTTTTTGGGAAAGTGCATCAAGTATTTTTCACACCTGTAGTCATCTGATATGTTTGCAGACATGTTGCATTGCACATTTTTCTGTGATCAGCTGTCAGCTCCTGTAACCTGAGGATTGGCACGAGACTTTGATTAAGCTGTCAAAATATTTTGACACTTGACAGCAGTTTTTACCCTGAAGAAAGGAAGGCCGGATTCTGCAGCAAGCTCCATTGTCAGCGTTTTGGATAATACTTGTTGAGTGTCGGACATATTTTTGATATTTGCTGTGAGGTGTAACCCGGCGCCCCTTGTCAGACGGGCTTTTCAGCTCATGCGGTGATGACTTTAGACTCCATGATGGCTTGTTGCCTGAGTGAAGAGGCGAAGGAGTCCAAACGAATCAACGCTGAGATCGAGAAACAACTCCGGCGAGACAAGAGGGATGCGAGGAGGGAGCTGAAGCTGCTTCTGCTGGGTAAGCCTGCATTAAAGGGTTTCACACACTCCATCTCTACCTCTTGTGTACACACACACACACACACACACACACACACACACACACACACACACACACACACACACACACACACAGAAGATCATACCTGAGCTATTGATTTGAATTGCATTGTAAAGGTTTTGCATGTAAAACTGTGCACCCAACCTGTACAAACCAGATGACTGTAGTCACCACAGGATTTGTGTGTGATGTGATATGCAAATCGAGATTCAAATGCGTTTCCGGTCTAGTAGCTTGTCGTGGAAGAGAAGCTATTCAATCTGGAATCATATATAAAAATACATTTGAGTAATTGCATTATAGCACAAGTATTCTTTTTTTTTTCTTGGTTTAAAAAAAAAGAAAAAAGATTACTATAAGGCGTTTCAATTTCTTGACCGTTTCTATCTGATCGATCACTTTCCTTTACACACTTAGTCATTAGTACCTATCCACATTAATGATGATAATTGATTCAAATCTCAGTGTGTTAATAGCAACAAAAGTCAACCTTAATTAAATGATCTTATCAAAATATTGAAATATTTGATTTTCTAAATGTTTTCAATATATACTCACACTTTCACACACTAAGACTTATTGAGTTTTGTTCATTTTTGTCCATTTACTGTAAATGCCTTTTTCATGCTGAATAACTTACTTCCAGGAACACGAGCACATCTCTGGTAATCACAAGATTTGAAGTGCTGCTTTTGCATAATTATTGATGGAGAAACTCTGTGTGACAGATCTGTTCATTTAACTAATTAGTCAACAAATTGTGTCATTGTTGGTCCACTATACATCTCCTTTTCTTTATCACATGAAAGTCACTAACATAATTTAGTTTTTTTTAAATACCATCTAAGAAGGAAAACACACAGGAAACGTTTGGAAACATTTCCCTAGCTATTGGTTGTGTTGGAGCTTGTGTTGCAGTCCTATTCCTTTTTGTATACCTCTAAAGCTTTAGTAAAAGCTCTTTGACTGCCTGGTTAATGAAAAGCTAATAAGGAAGACAAGTTAAATGCCACTTACTGAGGCAGGGAAATGTCTTCACTTCCTGGTGACTATTTACCTACATGTAGCTCTGTGGATTTTTGTACATTTGCCTTCATGCTTGTCTCTTTATGTTTTGTTCAGGCGTTATTTTGGTTATGGTTTGGTTTTTACGGAGCCCCCCTGGTGACATTGGTGAGAAAAATATTAATATGTGTCCACGTATTAATCTTTTTCTCACCAATGTCACCAGGGGGGCCCCGTAGGTTTTGCTTCCAGTCACAGGGAAACAAAAGACACTACTGCGTTACAAAGGGTTTTTTCTGTTGAAGCCTCATTATCATCATAAAACTCTTCCATTTAAAGTCAAAGAAATCAATAAGGTTATCCTCTTTTAAATTGTTTTAAGTCTGCGTTTTACTTATTCTCAACAACATATTATCAAGAGGTTTTTTTTCTGAGTAAACCTTCTTACATCCAGCTGTCAACAGTTCCTGTAGTGATCTTCCTCATAACCGTAGTTTTATCTGCCTGTAAAACATGGCTTAAATAATGAAAAAAAGAGTTGGTTTTTAATTAAGACTGTTACAAGAGAGACTGCACTCTCCTGGTGTCTGGTCTAGAAAAGGCTTCTCTGAGGTGGCTCACTCTGGGAATGAACCTTCCTCCTGAGAATATGCTGCTCATTTCTATCCTTAATGACAGTAGCTGTGGCATTGTGCGTTTGTATTAGTGGGGCACGATAATTATCGGCCCGATAATTATCGGTCCGATATTAGGAATTATGACGTCATCCCGATAAACCCGATACCAGTATTAATAGCCCCGATAATATACAATATATTTTTTGGGTAAGAAAAAAATACTGCGGTGTGGGTGGATTGGGATGAGGGGCGCTTGTTTTTTCACTCGGCTCCTCCCGTTTTGCCAGTACTGTGGTATTAGTGGTTTAGGAAGAGGGGAGTTCTTCACAAATCCAGCGCTCCCTAACTCATGCCTGGCTGTGACGTAAATGGTGTGCGGCCGTGAAGCCAGGACAGTAAACAAACATGTCGTCGGTAGTATGGGACTATTTCAAAGTTTCAGAGTTAGATAGTTCGCTTGCTATTTGTATTAACAAATGCAGAAGTTCCACGAGGAGGGAAAAAGGCAACGAGCTATAATACTTCCAACCTGATTAGTCACCTGAAACATCGCCATCGCTACGATGGTGTGTTAAAAGCGTACGAAGACGCCTGCGCTGCTAAACTAGCGGCGAATCCAAAGCCAGCTGCAAAGGCACCGGGGCTTTTACCTATCGATGAGGCTTTTGAAAAAGGCAAGAAGTTTGCCAGAGACGACCCCAGGGCTAAAACGATCTCTAACTTCATCATAGAAATGATGGCGCTTGACGAGAGTCAAAACTGTTCTTGGCTTTGTTTTGTTCATAGTAGTAATGCTCATGTCATTTGCTCACTACTAGTCTTTTTTTTACCACCAGGTGTGCAAAAACTACAGGTACATTTAATATATATATATATATATATATATATATTATATTATTATCGGGTATCGGTCTTGAGAAGCAGGAAGTTATCGGTATCGGTTTCAAAAAACCAATATCGTGCATCCCTAGTTTGTATGTTATGTTTTATTGATGGGGAAAGCTGTTATTTTGTATTTTCCACACTACTGTTAAGCCAAAGTTCAGTGTAAGCTACAAACACCTTCACTTGAACTAGGAAAGATTTAGTGTCAGTCGGTTACTCTGTGGTTTGTTGTCGCAAGTGACTGAACTCACACTTTCTAGTTTAAGGTGCTCTCACTCTTAAAGGCAGCAGCACTTAAAGATCAAATGCAAAGCTTCCAAATATGCTACATTTTTATAGAAATTTTGTTTTTAAGACTGCATGTATTTTTTATTTTATTTAAATCGAGATAATACATCAAAAAAAAAGCTTTTTATTGATACAAAACTCGACCCAAAGCCGTCTGAATTTCTGACATGTAATTCCCAGCAGCCTCCGCGCGCGTGACGTAATAGTGGCCAAACAGTCTCTGGACCAAATATCCCGACTCGGCAGTCTCGGTCACATGTTTTTCGAAAATAAAACTGAATTAACATGGGTTATTGTTGTGCTTTTTGTTGTACGAACGGTGCGGGATCTGGGAGAGTTTTACATGCATTTCCCAAAGACCAAATCATCCGCAAAAAATGGATTTTGTTAGTGAATCGTGTTGGCTGGCAACTGACAAAATGGAGCAAGTTGTGTTCTGACCACTTCGCGTGTGATGCATACGACGTTGATCCTGCTATCATCAAGTCTGTTGGTGCAGAAGCATTAATAGCACGTCGGAGGCTGAAACCCGGAGCCGTCCCCTCCACATTTCAGCACAAGAAACCACTGAAAGAACGAAAGAGCCGGGCGATGCAGAAACGCCAAAGAATTGAGGTAAACAACTTTTGATTAGATTTCAAAGCGCACGGAGCACAGCAGATAACGCAGATAACGGAATTGCAGTTGTATTGCTTATAGAGGTGGGCACCGTTAGATTCTGTGTCTTTACGATCATAAACAATGTGTTGGATGTGGAGCTAGGATAAGTAATAAGGGCGCTAGGAGTGATTTCGGTGCAGTAATAGGTTAGCATCTTTCGCTCAGGGCTAATTCACTGTTAGCATTGTAGTTTATCTGCAGCTCATTCATCGCTCCTCTACTCATAACGGAAAAGTGTGAACAATATGCATTATGATAGGGATTAAATCACCAATTCTCAGCACCCTCGGCCTCTTCCTCAGATGGCGAACTTGAATCATCGCCATCAGCACTTTCATCGGTGATATCAGGTGACGTTTCCTTGTATTTCCTCTTCGACATCAGAGGCTTGTATAGATATGGTTGGATGTCGACAACATACTCCAGATATTGGGTGGCCTCCGACTCAGAATCAGACATGATAGACGAAACTAAGTTGTACTATCGGCGGAAGCCGCTGTGAGCCCCTGCGAGCATTTTTCGCTCGGGGCTAATTCAGAGGCTCACTCAGAGGTGAGTCCGCCTGGACTTTATTTTTCTAAACCTCTCTAAAAAGGTCAAATTTCACTTGTTTTGCATCAATCTTGATACAGGGTACTTATTATATGTTATAGTTTGGATTCCTAAAGCTTTTAGTCTATAGTCTACTCAGAATCAGACATGATAACGAAACTAAGTTGTACTATCGGCGGAAGCAGCTGTGAGCGATAAGCCAAGGTTTGTTTGGCCACTGTGACGTCACGCGACGCCATCTTGCGGAGGAGCGGCTGAGAAAATAAATCGTCGGACTTGGTGTTGGGGGTTGAACAAAATAAATATTGCGCATTGCCAGACGCATATTATCTCCGATTTTAATACTGCAATATCTTAGATGGTGTTGTAGCTATATGATTTCGATTTTACTGGCTATTATAAAAAAACCTTTGCATTTGATCTTTAAAAGAATCACAGCTCATACGAAATAACTGTTCTTGATAAGGCTGCACGATATATCGTTTCAGAATTGACATTTCAATGCACAATAGTCACATACCAGAGTTTCCGATTAATTACAACAATTAAATCCATTCACCATTCATGTCTTTATAGCCAATGACATTTGATTACATTGTTAACTAAAGCACAATATTTTTTATCTAGCCTTTTTAAATGTGTGTCACCAAACTGTTGGCTGTAACTTTGGGTTCAAAATGTAAGGCTAATTATCCACACAGACATACAGGGCTAAGGGGGAACAAAAGTTTAACAAATCCTGAGTGTGAAGGGTTAATGGGGCCTTTTTGATTAGGGATTATTTGATACTTCTTCAGCCTGACCAATAGTTGACTGTTTAGGCCTATATTGATATTTGAAAATGTACAACATCTGATGCCATTTCTATTGGTTGGACTAGATACTACTAATCATATTTGACTGGTGAACGAGTCAGAATGGGTTATAAATGTAGCGAATACCAGTTTCTGT